TAGGTTCCCATTACATCCTTTCATCATCAAGGTCCTTGAATACTATGACGTAATCTTAGGCCATCTCCACCCGAACTTTGTCAAAACCTTGATCRACACCATCTTGGCATACCATCGCTTCAACCTCCCTCTTAAGTCTTAACCTCCAAACTTTCACCGGCCTCTACCAGATAAAGAAGTTGGTCAACGAGAAGGGATTTTACTATTTGTCTTACTGCTCCAAGCGCAAGTTGCTAAGTGGCTTCTCTAATAAAGTGCAGGAGTGGAAAAAGAAAATTTTTCTATATCTTGGATGAAAAGAGGTGTCCCTTCACCACGGAGTGGAGCACAACCATCAGTGACATCGGTGAGGAGCCCTTAGACGAGCAGCTAGAAGCTCGAATAAAAGAATTGGTGGACAAAAAATTGTTGGTCGAGGATTTCATGACTGAGGAGGCACTAGTCCAAGCTAGCTTGAGTCCTGTAGGTAGGTWGTCGCACTACACTTTTTTTCATTGTATTCTCACTTCAACTATTTGGCTTACCCACACTTATCAATTGGGGGCAAGTCATTCCCTCCGGTCACCATCTCCTCATCATTGCCACCACTAGTCTCTTCATCTTCGCCATCCTCTTCCTCCTCCTCCTCCTTGACCTCCCTCACCATTTCATCGATGAGAGCCAAGGTCTTCAACTRGCCTAGGTCAAACTCAAGAAGGAGGGAGGCAATGAGTCGATGGCACAACTTGAACCCCTTGCTTAGAGCGGCAGCGAGAGGAATTGGGCTTATTGTTGCTAGGTGGGTGATGTGGCACCATGCGTTTCGAAGGTGTCAAGTGATGCAAGCAAATAAGGGGAGACTTGCCATGTAGGTCGGAGCTCCCGAGGTTGTCTAACTCATCAAGTCGTTTGCTACTTGGGTCAAAAAGGCAAATCGGAATTGTTAGAGACTACATAAAGGATTCCACATGCCAATTTGTTGTTAAGCGATGTTGGTGTTATCCTGGGTGGCATAAGCTGATCTGTCGAGAAGC